ATTGGATAATTTTTTATAAAATTTTATTTGAGGTAATAGGGCCTATTCGCGTAACTAACGTTTCTTACGCTGAATCTAGATCTAAGTAAAGTACCCCATTAACTCTGCAACTAATTGGAAGTGCCTAGATAGCCGAGATATAAATGCAATAGATACTATGCGGGTAGTACGGGTTCGAGACACAACACGTCAATGTTAAATTGTTTTTTCATTTTTTAAAGATGTGAATGATAAAGTTGCCTATCAGGACTTGGCGGGACACGGGGCAGGTGAAGTAGAGTTCACCTATTTCTGTCTTCCTAGCATATGAAAGGATAGTGGGTTCAGACACATTCTAAGCCAAAACAGGTGTATTTTAATGACAATATCACGTTGCCTGAGGTGTGACGTCTTTTAAATGTGGGGTTTGACTTTTTGTGAAGATGTGTGACAGTGGGAAGGAAAGGGGAAAAATAAAAATAGAAACAAACGTGACGTCATTTATGGATTTATGGTTATTCAAAAATAACTGGTAAAATTTTAAAATTATGAAGGTCTTGAAGAAATAAGAAGAAAACTACCACTTACAGTACCGGAAATCGCTTAAAATGTGATACAATCCTACAATTAAAATAAAATAATTATATATGTTAGTTCGTCTCCTTTCTGAAAGTGAATTCTGAGGTAACCGGAAGTGATAAGTTATTCTTGATTGAACACTATAACAATGGTGACATTTCTGTTAAAAAAACACAGTTTTTAGCACACACACACACGCACACACATACATACACAGACACACAGACTGACACAGACAGACACATACATACACACACACATACACTTAACACACTTAACACACACAGAAACACACACAGAGACCAACAGACGCACATACAGAAATAGATACACAAACTAACAAACACGCACACACACATATATTTGTATATAAAAAACAAGTTAATTAAAAAGTCTAGTGACAATTTAAGCGCAATTTCCTTATGTTATCTAAAAATAGCTTTGACGTATAATGCTGGGGTGCGTTCAAGCTAGGAGAACGATCGGTTTGTAGGTGTTTATGGAATTTTAAAATTTGTAACCGAACGAAAGGATATTTTTGAAAACTTTCTTCGGCAATATTGTTCTAAATTATGGCAGGAATCGATTGGTAAATGTTTCAAGTCGCTAAGTGGTCTGGTTGCCGAGATATGGTCCTAAAACTGCATTTTTTTTCGAGGTTTTTTGGATTTTCCGTGAAATCCAGGAAGGAATTCCGGGAACTTTTTTGGCCCACTATCATCCTCGGTACTTGCTTAACAAATTTGCTTTTGGAACTAGTCCTCGATATTGCTCCGTTGAGGAGGAGATACGACTTAAAGCTGCGAACACACATCCATCCATTCCCAGAAAAGACAAGATAGTAAACGCAATTCTCCAGAATGGAAATTGCGCTAATATATATATACGAGAAAAATGGCCCGTTGAGGAAGGATACAACGGGCGCTAGGCTGATAGTGCTGATAAACCACCCCACCCCCCCACACACACCACCCCCCAACCCCACCCCCCCCCCCCCAAAAAAAACATGTCTACCGTCCCATTCAACGAAATATAATTATATACTTTTTCCAGTGTCCGCCCCCTCCCCGAAAATTCTACCCCCGCCACCGAAAATTTCAAGTACCCCCACCCCTCTCCGGGGAGGAAAAAGTCTAAACTAAAACCACCCCACCCCCCACACACACCACCCCCCCCCCCCACACACACACCACCCCCACCCCCCCAAAAAAAACATGTCTACCGTCCCATTCAACGAAATATAATTATATACTTTTTCCAGTGTCCGCCCCCTCCCCGAAAATTCTACCCCCGCCACCGAAAATTTCAAGTACCCCCACCCCTCTCCGGGGAGGAAAAAGTCTAAACTAAAACCACCCCACCCCCACACACACCACCCCCACCCCCCACCCCACCCCACACACACACCACCCCCCCCCCCCCCCACACACACACACCCCAAAAAACATGTCTACCGTCCCATTCAACGAAATATAATTATATACTTTTTCCAGTGTCCGCCCCCTCCCCGAAAATTCTACCCCCGCCCCCGAAAATTTCAAGTACCCCCCACCCCTCTCCGGGGAGGAAAAAGTTTGAAAGAAACACTGGTGTCGCGCTTAGCCACTACCCGAAGAATTGCATTAAAGAAATTGCAAGAAAACCACTTTTTAGATTAGACACATTAATTAGGCGGTAACTTTATTATAGAGTATCGATGAGGAAATTTCTTTTGAGTTGGGGAGGGGGGGGGGGCTCAGACGTTTTTACGCGGGGATGGGGCTTCGCCCCTACCCGAAGAACTGTATGAAAGAAACTCTTCACGCAAACCACTTAGATTAGACAAAATTGCCTTTTTATTCAATGTTTACTCGAGAATCAATGACGTCATATTACTGTGTGCACTCTCCGGCTTGATATTTTTTTTCTACTATATGACGTCATACTTCGTTTTCGTTTCACTGTGTGAGTTTTTAAATTGCTTATGTTTTCTCTAGAGCGTTCTTGTCAGATAGATACATAGATAGATACATACACAGACAGCGAAACTATTATTATACGAGAAAAATGGCCCGTTGAGGAAGGATACACCGGGCGCTAGGTTGATAGTGCTGTCTCTTTTCTCTAAACTAAAACCAACCCCCCCCCCCACACACACACCACCCCCCACCCCCCTACCCCCCACCCCCACCCCCACCCCCCAAAAAACATGTCTACCGTCCCATTCAGCGAAATATAATTATATACTTTTTCCAGTGTCCGCCCCCTCCCCGAAAATTCTACCCCCGCCCCCGAAAATTTCAAGTACCCCACCCCTCTCCGGGGAGGAAAAAGTCTGAAAGAAACACTGGTGTCGCGCTTAGCCACTACGCGAAGAATTGCATTAAAGAAATTGCGAGAAAACCACTTTTTAGATTAGGCACATTAATTAGGCGGTAATTTTATTATAGAGTATCGATGAGGAAACCACCCCCCCCCCACCCCCCCACCCCACCCCCACCCCCCACTCCCAAAAAAAACATTTCTGCCGTCCCATTCAACGACATATAATTATATACTTTTTCCAGTGTCCGCCCCCCTCCCCGAAAATTCTACCCCCGCCCCCGAAAATTTCAATTACCCCCACCCCTTTCCGGGGAGGAAAAAGTCTGAAAGAAACAGTGGTGTCGCGCTTAGCCACTACACGAAGAATTGCATTAAAGAAATTGCAAGAAAACCACTTTTGAGATTAGACACATTAATTAGGCGGTAATTTTATTATAGAGTATCGATGAAGAAATTTCTTTTGAGTTGGGGAGGGGGAGGGGCTCAGAAGTTCTGGGGCTTCGCCCCTACCCGAAGAATTGTATGCAAGAAGCTCTTCACGCAAACCACTTAGATTAGACAACATTTCCTCTTTATTCAATGTTTACGCCAGAATCAATGACGTCATTATATTACTGTGTGCACTTTCCGCCTTGAGATTATTTTCAACTCTATGCTAAATGTGTCGACGTCATACTTCGTTTTTAGAATTACTATGCAGGTTTTTAATTTCCTTGTGTTTTCTCTAGAGCGTTCTTGTCAGACAGATAGATAGATAGATACATAGAGAGACAGCGAAACTATTATATAGAATTATATATATATATATATATATATATATATATATATATATATATATATATATATATATATATATATATATATATATATATATATATATATATATATATATGATGGTAGAGTTCATCGAGTGGTGTAGAGCTTGGGAAAGGGTAGTGTCCTTGTGTTGAAATGTCGTTTTTCCTGGGTTGCTTTGATTTATTTTTCATTGTAGAGAGAATGACGATGTATCGTAGTGTTTTCTTGTGTAGTTGAAATGGGCGAAATGATGTTGAAGAATGTTTAGTTTTCGTGATATTGCTGTGTCGAGGATTGTAGATGAGAGGAACTTGAGAATGATCGAGTAGTCGAAAGCTTTGCCGAGTAGTTGAAATGGACAAATTGAAGCTGTTGACGAGTGTTTATTTTACGAGAGTTGCGTAATCGTGAAGTTGTTTGAGTAGTTGGCATTTGAGGGATGTCGAGTTGATGGTAATTGACGGAGCATCCCACCCAAGATTTCTCCTAGGCCGATGTAGTCGCTGTGATAGTGAAGTTGTTGATATCGAGGTAATTGTGTATTGAAGATGAGGAAGTTTTGCGTAGATGATATTTGAGAGATGTTGGGTTGATTTGCTGGCATTTGTGACGGAACCTCCCACCTAAGATTTCTGCTAGGTGGGTGTCGTCACGCTGAAAAATGGAAAATTGAAAATTAGCCACTCGTACAACGAGGTATGTGTGGGCGCAACCCCATAGCGATCGATGGCGAGATTTGCAATTGATTGCTTGATTATTTGAGTAGTAGATTTGACCGCCTCTCGACCCGGGCAGTCAGCCATAAAAAGGGCTGACAAACCAAATGACTAAGATTTATGTAGATAAAGTTCAATTCTGTATGTATGTAAAATGTTTGTCGTGGATTACAAAGGAATATTAGAAAAACCGATACTTCTATGATTCAAGTGTTAGATTATTAAAGTACTCATGGTCTAAATTTATGAGTTAAAAAATTAATTTTGAAAGTCTTTAAAAACAATTTTCAGTTTACATACTTAGAATAATATTTTTCAATTACGAACATTATACGTTATAATATACGTACATTATACGTACCCCAATCGTGCCACCAATTTGTAAGCCATGACAGGAGGATAACGTATATCTACGTTCCTAGAATTATCTAAATAGACTGTCCTGTCAGTGCAACCGTCGTAAAACCCACGGGAGTTAAACCCTAATATGGTCTTATACTAAAAAAAAAATTCATAAAAAACGTTTTAATAACACGCTTTTATGTAATGATGCACTAAAAAGTAGAAAATAAATTATACACTACTATTTAAATTACTATAAAGAAAATCGTGGGTCACTTTAGT